TTACAAGGGAAGGTTCCCAACTGATCAATCGCTTGTGCGTCGAGACTATGTGCATTATGTAGGTATGGATGAGCTATGAATATCCTAAAAAAAGTTTGGTCTGCTAGCTTGTTGGTAGGAAGATACTGCACTTTTACGGTATGCTTTTAAATGAATGCCGTCGTCCTCCTCAGGAACACCAAAAAAAATGATTTTCGAATTTCCACTTGAAACTTTACGTAGAAGCAGACCTTACTGAGAATAGTATTTTGTGAAAGTTTCAGACTTTTTTGCTGTTGCTATCCGTAGATACAGATATGATAACTTCATTCGGATAAACCAGAAGATTTCATGCTCTCATTTCAGGGTAGGAACAAATAAAAATATCTGAAACCTTCACAAAATACTATTCTCAGTAAAGTCTGTTTCTACGTTAAGTTTCAAGTGGAAATTCGAAAATCATTTTTTCTGGTGTTCCTGAGGGGGACCACGGCATTCATTTAAAAGCATACCGTAAAAGCGCAGTAGCTTCCTACCAACAAGCTAGCAGCCCAAACGTTTTTTAGGATATTCATAGCTCATTTGTACCTACATAATGCGCATAGCCTCGACGCAAAAGCGATTGATCAGTTGGGGACCCTCCCTCGTTAGTTTTTTTTAAATTTTACTTTAAATTTCTAGATAAATTGTTACACCTAATGGAAATATTCTTAGTACTTATTTACATAGGAGTCCAATATAAAATATACAACTTTAACTAGTTAGTGATATTCAATATAAGAATTCATTTGTCTAATATTTCATAAACGAAATACAAAAATACAAACTGACAGATGTCAGAATATCAAATACATCATAATTAATCACAAAATTTAGAAGTTAGGATCGAGTTTAGTAAATGATGAAAAGCAACTGTCTGCTTAATACTTTGTTTTTATGAGTAAATGTGTAAAATAGAGTGTCAATTAAACATCGCAAGATTCTTGACTATTTTGTCACAATAGTGAACCCTTGCTATTAGAAATATTTGTGTGTTGAACATTGAGAAATCTTATAATTTAATCTTATTCGTTCATGATTATCGACCAATGAAGAAGTTTCTATTATGAATCATGGACAATTGTTTTAACTTTGACAGTTCCAATTTTTATATTAGAATTTTTATTTATATAATTAAAAAATATAGATCAATTTCTAATCAAATAACAATTCATAAATTATTATCGATATATAATTATCATTTAAAGTTTAATTTTATATTCTATTTACCTTGAAAAACATGGAATTTGAAGGACAACAAATAGAAAATATTGCTGAGATTTTTAATGATATTTGTTATACATTCAATAATATCAAATATCGAATGATTCAAATGAAGATTTCATGATTTAAGATGAAATATGTTTTAAAAAATCAATCGTTATTCAAGCGTTATCGTCTTATATTTACTTTACATTATATTAACATCGATGAAGGTGCACTTGCAATTCTTAACGGTAAATAAAAATTTTGATGGTTTTTTTTTTTTTTTGTTTTTCTTAAATAGAAAACCAAATTTTCTAGATTTTCAATCATCAAATATTCTCTTTTCATTTTGATACAACTTCAATGTTCAATATTAGTATGAATTAAACAATTATCATTATTCAATGAAAATTATATGTTGAAATTGAATCTTATTAAAATTTGCTTGTGTTTTTTTTTTTTAGAACAAGAAATAAATCTCAATGATCAATGATGTTTTAATAATATAAAAAAAAAACTACTAGTAATTTGATTTTTATATTTCAGATTTTAGACGAAAGAAAAATGCCAGGAGAGGTAGGCATATGAGAAGAAAAAAACACGTTAGTTTATTGTGTATACACTTCTGCTTTTCACATTATCAAATATAACAATTTTTTCACGTGTGCATTTTTACAAACAATCAAAATCTAGTTTGTATTAATCAATAATAGTATTATTATTAAAAAGAAAAAAACGTGGTGTATCGCTTTTCACATTTATTATCAAATATACAAACATTATTTCTTTAATTTTTCATAAAATGCGAATTGTAAGTATTTTGAAAAAAAAAAAAAACTTTTTTCTTCTGCTAGCTATTTTTATTTCAAATAATAATATCTAATCGAAAAAATAAAAAACAATATCAAATCATTCCTGATTTGTTTCATTTATTTATTTTTTTTTGTTAATATAAGATGATCAAAAAAGACAATCGAAAATGGATCAGTCTAGTAGCACTTGTTCTACAAAATACCAGTCTTGTACTTCTTTTACGTTATTCAAGAACAATGAAAGCTGAACGATATTTATCATCATCAGCTATTGTTACTGCTGAATTTATTAAAGGATTAATTTGTATTATTCTTGTTTGGTTAGAAAATGGTATGTAGAATAAATGTTAATTATTTAGAACTATAAATATTAGCAAAAATTCATTTCCAAAAAAAAAAAAATAGATCGTTCAATAGATCGATTATTTCGAGTATTGAATGATGAAATTTATGTTAAACCTTATGAAACTTCTAAATTAGCAATACCAAGTGGATTATATGCAATTCAAAATAATCTTTTATTTCTTGCATTATCGTATTTAAATGCAGCAACATATCAAGTATCTTATCAATTAAAAATTTTAACTACAGCTTTATGTTCTGTATTTATGCTGAAAAAAACCATAGAAAAACATCAATGGTTTTCTTTATGTATGCTTGCTATAGGTGTTGCATTTGTAACAGTAAGACAAAAATTATAGTCAAACAAAACAAAAAAATTTTTTTTTTTTTGTTTTTTGAATAGTGGCCATCACCAGAAGAAGTTAATAAACGTTCGACAACACAAAGTGAAATAACTTGGTATCAACAATCAATAGGTTTTGGTGCAGTATTATTAGCTTCAATGACATCCGGTTTTGCTGGTGTTTATTTTGAAAAAATTCTTAAAACTGGACCAACATCAGTTTGGGTTAGAAATATTCAATTAGGTAAACAAAATTCATATATATATATAGAGTTTTGTCTACACAAAATTATGAAAGGATATAATATTGATATTGCTAAATTTAATAGTTAATTGAGTATATAATTAGTGTATGTGACATATAAAGAAAATGAATTTGAATTTTTTCAAGACTATTCATGAGCGAAAAAAAATAATATCGAATGCAACAGATTATTGTACATATTGATAATAACCTTTATGGTAAAAGAACAAAACAAAAAAAAAACATTTATCATTTATTTTTGATAGCTTTGTTTGGAACATTTTTTGGTCTGGTGATTGTATTTTGTTTTGATTATAAAGCTGTGATGGATAAAGGTTTTTTTCAAGGATATTCAACAATCGTATGGATAGTTATTTTACTTCAAGTAAATAAAATAGAAAACAAAAAAAAAATTATTTATCTTTAAATTATGTTAATTCTTTTTTTTTCAGGCAACTGGTGGTTTAATAATTGCTACTGTAATTAAATATGCTGATAATATTATAAAAGGTTTTGCTACTTCTCTTTCGATTATTTTTTCATCCGTAATTTCATATTTTATTTTACATGATTTTGCGCCATCATTGTAAGTAAAATTGTTTATATTTTCAATGAAAAAAAAAAAATCTATATTATTCTATTTAGATTTTTCTATATGGGAACAGTATTTGTATTAACAGCAACATTTCTGTACGGATGGGAACAAAATAAAATAACATTATCAGTGAATGAACAAGCGCGTATCTAAAATTTTGATCACACATAGAGATAAAGATTATCCTTAATATATATACATATATATATATTGATTATGGTTCAATCAAAAACATAAATCTCATATTTTGCTTGATTACTAATATTAGAACTAAAATTTCCTTTAAATCTATTCTTCCTAGTCGATATATTCTTATTAATGACAAACATGTAACACAATGCGTGCTTTTGTTTTTTATTATTATTATTACTTTTGTTCTTCTATTTTCGTATATGAATATTCATATGTCACCCATCTATTTCATATTTTGATTCTATCCAAAATAAAATTTTATTAAAGAATGTTTTTTTTTTCATTTAACATTGAAGATAATTTGTTGATAAAAAAATACAGTTGTTTAATAAAATGATATGTTGACTTCAAAGAAATGAAGAAATAAGCTTTAAAAAGTCTATTTCTGTCATGCAATTCAAATAAAAAAAAAAATAATTCTAAAAATTTTTCAGTCACTTGACAAAATATAAATATATGTATTCATTATTATTTTATTTTTAAATTAATTATGAAATATTCCTATTTAAATATATTTGTATAAACAAGCAATATTTTACTGAAAAAAAAAAAAACTTGAATTAAACACAAAAAAAAACACATTAATAGGTGATAACTAATGTTACAGAATTGAAATAGTCCAATCGATTGTAAACATACATCAAGAGACTCTCCGTTTTAGTTATTAAATAACGCATAAGAAAAGAAAAGGTAAGACAAAATTAGATACGAATGAAAAATGATATATGTACAACGTGTAAGTATACAAAACATTTGTTTCGCTCGATCGCTCACATAGTTTGGTTAAATCTATGGTAATAATTGTTGGATTGTATAAAATATGATTATTTTTATAATGTTACCAAAAAAGTATTTTCAGATCATCTTATATTTTTTAGCAATGACAAATATCATACCTATGTATAATTGATGACATATCAATATCTTAAATTTTATTTTTTGCGAAATATTATATAAAGTTTATATTTCGAATGCTTTCGATTTTTTAGTTGACTTTTTCTTTTTTAACGAATTATTTAAGCTTTAATTGACTCATATAGTCAATATTATTGATTTAGAAGTGACTCACACCTCTCCGTTCGTTTGTTGAAGCCCCCGCTCACTAGGCATGCCTACGCAAGTTTTTTTTTTCTTCCTTCATATATTGCAATCGATCAAAACAGCTACATATATACATATATAAAAACACACGTTTCTACTATTTTATATAAACCTAAATCACTATTTTTGTTTTTTCATCTAAGATAGATGGGTGATCATAAAAAAAATGAACATGAATTAAATTTTTCATTTATGGTACAAAATGAAACAATGGATATAAAAAGAATAAATATGCCTGTTATTTCACAACCATCAACACGGCCAAATACTTTACCATTAGATGGACAATGTGGCAACAATACAGCATTATTTACATCTGGTAACTATAATAATCTTTTATTATCAACACCGGATTTGATTAATGCTCTTGTCACGCCAACAGCTAATGACATACAATCTTCAATAGGTTTGTATTTTCAAATCAAAATAACGAAAAAAATATGTATATAAAAAGTTTCTTTCGTTTTTTTTGATTTTCAGGTGCTAATATACTTGATGAAATACTTCCTACTCATATCGATAATAGTAATCGTTCAATTTTACAACCAATGAATCTATTTGATCATGCTGCATATAATATAGTATCTAATACTGATAATCGACAATATGAAAATATTTCAACATATCCTAGTAATCGATCCAATTCTCAAACATCTTCATATAATCCATCGGTATCATCAGTAACGATGGATAATGAATCATCAAATTCAACAGAACCATCAAGTCCATCGTCTATGCATCAAAAATTTAAACGAGTTAAAGATGAATTACAACATGTTCCATCAATACGAACAAAATCTCACGATGAACCAAATGATGTAGTAAGAAAAGAAAAAAAACGTGAAAGAAATCGACAAGCAGCACAAAAATGTCGTACAAGAAAATTAACACGTATTGCCGAATTACAAAAACGTGTTAATGAATTACAAGGCAAAAATAAAGATCTATCCAATGTAGCTGAATGTTTGAAATCTGATATAACAAACTTAGAAAAAAAATTATGTGATCATCATGCCCAAGGATGTGTATTAATGAATGGATCAATATTATAATTATCAAACAACAAAAAAAAAATTCTTTTTTTCTTCGTGTTTTCATTTCATAGCTATGTAGTGATCATTTGTTTTTGTACTTGAAATATTAATCAAACATATATTTGAACAGTTTTCTCTGACAGTTATTTTGTCCTTATTTGTTATCGTTTGTTTCTTTTTCTGTAATATACAACTAGACTATTTTAAAAGTATGCATGTATTTCTTCGTGAACATCGAAAACAACCATTGACGCTGTCATGTTGATTATCTTTCTTTTAACGAATTCTGCATAAATATATTAGAACAAAATTGACTTGTAAGGGATTTACTCAAACAGACAAAATATTAATAAGGATTCTTTTTTTAAATATTGATCAGAACGAAGTATTATGCATGACTTGATAAGGTGAAAAAAAGAAAAGCTTTCAGATTTGAACAACAAATAACAATAAAAATTGGTGATTTCCCATTTTTTTAGCACCTATTCATCAAAATGATTCTTTGTATTGACATTTGTTCGAGTCTCAATGAAAGACGAATGTAGCCAAAGATAATTTGGAAGTTGTAGATCCATTAATACTTTGATATTTTTTAGTTATTTCATTTTTAAATTCAGTAGATTAATATAAAATTGACCAATAGGAGTTTGTGTCACTCTTTGAAGAATAATCTTTCATGACATATTAATAATGTTTATTTTGAAGACGTCTTGAAATATCACTCGAATTTTTCGTTATAACACACTTCTTAGAACAAACGAAAGAAAAAAGAATTACCATAGAATATATGCATCGACATTTGTGTTCTCTCTATTGTCATCATTTTCTTCATGACCACTGTTTTTCTTTTATTCAATTATATGATAGAATTTTTTCTGATTTATCTTTCTTCTTGAACGTATTGAACTCTAGACTTTTGTATCATAATTTAGGAAATAAGGAAATACCTTTGCATTGTTACTACATATCAATCAATGATTCAAGGTGAAACATGATCTGTTAGTAAAAAAAATAACCCTGACCTTCATCATTATATTTCATCTTAGAATTCATCTCTTCAAATAAGTTACGCCGTCCTCAATAATTTGTATTGTCAAACCATATATTTTTTTTCCTATTCTTTTCTATTGCAACCATTGAGCCTCGCACAACCATATACATTTTTCTATTTCAAAAAGTTTAATCCTATCAAACGACATAGATATTTTCATTTTTTCTCTTTTTCTTTTTCAAAAAAAAAAAGCGGAACCCCTTTCATTTTCTAACTTCAAAAAAGATTGAATCGTATAGATGTGAGTGTGAATGTGGGAATGGTTTGAGCGTGAGGTATGAGATTTCGCTTCGGTAATATCGCCACTCACACCTCATACCCACACGCAAATCGTTTTTTTAGAATCGACGATATAGTGAACCGCCTATTCAAGCATCTAGCTCTATGGATATTTGCATCATCATGAATAATAAGGCTTGGCTAATACTTGATTAGTTAGGTGACTTGAAACCGATACCAAGAAATACCACAATAATATGCTCCAAGGACTTTAAACCAATTAGTTCAATGAGGTGTGAGTTTGAAGTAATAGGAAATAGTTTTACAGTGGATAAGTCTTTTTCACATTTAAACTACTGATTAGCTGAATGAAAAGAAAAATAGATGAAGAAAATATCTGCATGCACATATCACACCAAAAAGAAAACATTGCTGTTCTTCTCTCGAAGACACTCTGCTTTACTTCCCATCATCGACCAACGAATGTTTTCTGTTGGTTATACGTTACAAAAAAACGGATTTCTATCTGTTCTTGTCTGAAGAAATTTCGATGTGAGTTTTAAATTAGACTTCTGTGCATGTTTTTCTTGCGACACCAACGGCTCACAGTCGTACCGAAACCTAAAGCCGTCGATCTAGATGAGGGTCAATGTGGGTATAGATGTGCCGGTATCGATGTCAATGCTGTTTCTGCTTCGACTAATAGATATACCTAGACTCACCCTATACCAATACCCATACCCACATCGGTGTTATTGGAATTATAGCGACGTACAAAAGCAGACAATAAAATTGTGGATAATAGTATTTAGTACAAAAATCAATGACTAAATCAGATTATATCGCCTGTGAGAAAAAGACTTGCATGAACCAGTATTGCCACATCAACTGTAAGAACCACTTTTTTAAAACCCTTATTTTCTTATTGCGATGCATTAGTAATGCATGGTTTTTTATTTTCAAAGCGTTGTTTATAAGAGACACGCATTAATCCGTAGTAAATGTCATTTGAGACGAATTCGAACATGTTTTGCATTATGCATTTGAATGCATTGTTCTTTTAATGCATTCAAACCGGATTTTACACCATGCTGTTACTAAAATAACGCATTTTTCACAAACGACCTACAGTGGATTTCTTTACAAATCTTTTCTTACTGAACAATGAGTTTTTAGTACAGAGAAGTTAAGTTATTCGCACCAGTATTGTAAATAGGAATGCCATTTTAAGAGATCAAATCTGCTATCGTTTAGCCAAATATTTTCAACTATGAAACTTCAACTTATACCGCTTCAATGAACTCGTTATAAGAGTAAATATCATGAGTGCTGTGTACCAAAACGTATTTTAACATTCAATAAGAGAGAAATAATTGCATTCAAAAAAAAAGATTAGATGCAGATGAATTTGAACGAGTTTAACCTGATTGAAAAATTTTTTGTGCTAATTTTAAAGGATATAGATAAATTTGGGGTATTAACAAAATACGTTACTAGTCGAAATATCCAACTTTCAAAAGTGACCAAAATCAATCTCACTAATATTCATAACTCTAAAAGTCATTGTCGCTAACATCCACTTTATGTAATTAATACAATAAATACACGCTTAATGAAAAAACATCTAATCGGTTCTCGTCATGATAACATCCAATACCCACAGATGGTCATCATCTAACTTTTTATCTGAATATCGACCATCTCCTAATCGATGTGTGAACGTGGATTTGATTGAGTGGAGCAGCGACATTCTGGGGATTCGTGTGTTTGTGAGCGTCGTTTCTAATACACAATATCCACATCGACACTCTTGAATCCAAGGGGAAATAAACTGATTTGGTGATTTCATGTCATGGGAAAATAAGCAAATTTCAAGTTTTTCAGATTTAACAAGATACCACAAAATTTCGAAATCTTTTGAAAGGTTTTAGAGGTTATAGATACCAAGATCTTTTTTCCCTTAGATCAGAAATAATCAGTGTTGGCTTGTCTTCATTAGGATTGTCCAATTTAGCCTTGGATGCCCTCATGAGTGTGACTCCACTTTCAAATTGTTCCTCAGCTCTATTGTAAGGATAAAACATCGGATTGTTCGGGCCCATCCTAGGATTATCCGAAGTTCTCTTTCATGTGACCCAAACAATCGTATGCTTTGTCTTTACAATTAGCCAAGAAATAGTTTCCTCGAATCCAATTGCTCGATACTGGGGATGTACTGTGCAGACAGATGAGTTCTCACGCGGTTGATTTGTACAGCCCTAATTGTAAGATGCCTTGCCTGAAGATTTCACAAAATTGTAGAGGATTCCGAAAGGTTTTTTTTTGAAGATTTCAGAGGTTTTGCATCGAAAAATCTACTTTTTCTTTATTGCTTTGTGTGATTTCCAATGATCTCCTAGGTTTCTCATGATTTCAACTTGATTTCAGCAATTGAAATCAGTTTGTTCCCCCTTGTTCGAATCTGACTGATGGACTGACCATCGTAAGATGAGATAAGAATCCATTTTCATATTCAAGTCAAAGATGACTTACAATGAAACTTGAATAGTTAGTAGCGACAATGCGTCCTAATGTGGGTAGCCGCCAATGTGAAGTAGTTGACTAAAGAAAATACCTCTGCTCTAAGATTTAGGCAGACTGTGATGGTAAATATGTAGGTTGAAGTAAATCTGGAGTCATAAGTGTTCTGAACTGCTCATCTCTGAATGAATTACTTGAAAATTAGTGAACTTAGCCAAACTGATCGACAAAACAAACTATCAAGTGTCTTACATATAAAATTTTTTACTGTAAAAATCGGTATGCTATTATGTTGATTGAATACTAAAATGCTATTTTTAATATAAACACTTCTGAAAGTTCAGAACCCTAATTACTAAAAACATTATCGAACAGATAACTTCAGAACCAAGATTTTATTTTATTCCTGTTGTAGAATTATAAATAAAGATGACAGAATCGATTCAACAGCTGAGCATTGACAATGACTATTCTAAGTCATCAACTTACCCTGATCAATGTCTCAATAATTATAATGGTCATTGGCAAGTAGTCCGTATTGATGTTGAACGAGTAAGGAATCTTATCAGCATTTTCTCTCAGCTTAATCGTGGAATAATCGTGACAGTTTGCAAGTACGAGAGTGATGCTAAGTGTAACTGTGTATCTTCTTTTCACACTCATGTCACACATGTATATAATTTAGTAAGATGATTCTTTGTAATTCCACATTACAATCAGATAGATGTTGATTTCATTCTCATTTTTCTGAAATACAGCATTGATTAAACAAAAACGAATGCACACATTCTATTGTGGATTCAAAGATCTAAATCTTTACTATTATTTTTCTGTTTTCTTGTTTAGTCATTGAACGAAGATTTTGGCTTTTCCATTACCGGTGGAAATGAATATTCAACTCCTATCAGTGTCGTACAAATCAGAAAAGGTGGTTGCGCTGATTGCGATGGACGTTTGAAGTGAGTCTTGATCTCATGCACTGTCTTTCAATCTCATTTGTTTGTGAAGGCTTAAGGATGTCATTTTAAACGTCAACGGTATTAATTTCGTAGGAATTAGTCATTATCAAGCAGTTCATGTGTTCAAGTCTGTCGGCAAACGTATTGTTATAGTAAGTCAAATTAATTTTATGCGTGCCATTCTGATGATAAAAGCAAATATTTTTGTTTATTTTCAGCATATTCAACGTCTGATGCCGTCTACTGAAGTAGAAATTCAACCATGTGCA